GTCCGTCATGGTCAGCCGTGTGGGAGTGTCCAGCACCTTAACCACTATGCCACCTGCTGGTCCCCAAGAAGAGGTAAAATTTTTTTTAAAAAAGCAAGCAGCCTGATGCAACTGTCTCTATCTCTTTTTTCTTCTCTGTGTTTTTTTTTTTGGGGGGGGGGAGAGGTTTTTGCTATAGGGCGTGTGCGCTCGCCAGACAGAGAGAGACATAGAGACAGAAAGCGAGAAATCACCCCCAGAGGGGATGGTCACGCCGCAATCCCTTCTCCTCCATTCTCCTCTCGGGATCTTGGGCACGCACACACACGCGCCCGGCGTGAGTTTTAAGCCACCGGGTCCGGGACGCGAACCGCGGTCGACTACATGGGAGTCCAGCAACATAGCCATTACGCTAACTGCTGGTTCCCTCTATCTCAATATATCCGTGTCAATGAATGCGTAATGCACACAGATACAGGTTTCTTAGATGCCATAAAACTTGTTATCCCTACAAGTACGGTAGAATGCTAGGAAACCCCCAGATCAAATTTCAGTTTGCATGTGTTGATCGAAAGATGACGTGGGGCTGGGGCAGTGGCACAGTGGTAATGCACTGGCTGATCCACATGGGAGGTCCGGGGTTTGTGGCCTAAGACCTCCCTCTGCATACTGCGTGTGCATGTGCCCATGATCAGGCTGCCTGAGGCTAGAGCGGACCATGGATGAGGATCTTGTTGGGGGTGCTTTTCTCTCTCTCACTCATGGAAGAAACAAATACAAACCCCCCAAAAATAAAATAAAATCTCTTTCTCCTTTGCTTTCTCTCTCTTCTTTCTTCTCTGTCCCTCCCTCTCCTTCCTTCTCTCTCTCTAAGGGAAAAGAAAAAGTCAATGAAAGTAACATTCAGTACAACTTGGATGACCCTTGAAGACGTTAAATGAAACAATCACTCACCAAAAGACAAACACTGTATGATTTCATTTATGTGAGGCCCCGAGTACCCAAATTCATAGGGATGGAAAGTAGGACAGAGGTTACCCGGGGCTGGGGAAGGAGCAGGAAGTCATTATCTAATGGGCGCAGTTTCAATTTGGAAGGATGAAAAAGTTCCGGAGATGGGCTGTGGTGATGGTTCTGTGCAACGAAAAGAATGTGCTAATGCCACTGGACTGTCACTTAATGACGACCAAAGTGCTACAGTTTATGTTCTGTGAATTTTACCCCAAGGGGGAAAAATCAATGAAAACGGCCTGAACAAAGCAGCTGATGTCATGGAATAGACAAGAGATCCTGGGCCTGGCTTCTGCTCTAATCAACTATGTGACCCTGAAGACCCAATTGTCCTTATCCTCAAATCAGTCCCCATCCAAAATATCAACTGTAAGTGAGTTCCCAAGTTCCTGGCAGTTTCTGGTGTGAGGCAAATGTCTTGGAAAACAGAAAGGCACCTTGAGAGTTTTATTTGCACGAGGTGACTTACACACAGGGCAGGTGGTCATCACCCACACCTGCACCTATCTCTGGCCAAGGATCTGGTCATGGCCATGTTGTGGTCCCAGGAAGGCTGCCAGAGATGTGCCTTATGTTCCACACCCTGGAAGTGCCATTCCAGAGATAGCTGGGTCCCTATGGACACATGAGCCCTGCAAGTTGTTAACCCTTTGTGACAACTCTGTCCTTGTTCGAGGGATCGAAGTCTCTGCTGCAAGTGTCAAACTGGCTCTTTCTGATTTGCACAGCCAGCTCCACCCAGGCCTGCCTGGTTGAGATGAGTCCTACCTGGAGCTACGGCCTACCTAGGGAAGCCTTTCTGCATGTGATCACTGACAATGAACTCAGGTGGGATGGTGTGCTATTTAATAACAGAAATAACTTTGAGGTAGAAATCTGGGCTCATGATGGGGACCCCATTGTATCGATAATCACCTTTTTCATTCGAAAAGCTTCCATTTTAGGGGCCAGTAGGTGGTATAGTGGTTAAGGTGCTGGATCCCACATGGCCCACTTCCAGGTTCAAGTCCCACACTTGGTGGCTTGAAAAACACACTGAAGGCAAATGCGTACAAATTCAAAACCCTGAGAGGAGAATGGAGGAGAAGGGACTATGGCGTGGTCATGCCCCCAGGGGGTGGTTTCTCACTTTCCCTCTCTCTATCTCTCTCCAGTGAGTACATGTGCCCTATGGCAAAAACCTAAAAAGAAAAAAAAAATCTTTAATTTTTAAAGAACTTAGAAGGGCACTACAGAAATTCTCAGTGACAAAACATCCTCTGTGTTGACTGTGTCAATGTCGATATCATGGTTGGGTTGCGTACAATAGCTTTTGCACAATGTTTCTTTTGGCGGAAACCTGGTACGAGGTACGTGAGATTTCTCTATTATGTGAACATATAATTATCCCATAATAGAACATTTAATTCAAAAGAAAAACCAAGTACGTAAAAGTGAAAGTTACCCGCCTTTGAGCTCATGCATAATGGAAGCACATTCTAATGTTGTGCACGTAAATAATAGATATGGCCATTTTCATGGATCAGCGCCATCCCATCGTATAAGAAACATTTTAAAGTTAAGGGACTATGCCTTTAATAGGAAATTTTGATGTGTTAGCAACTACTGGTTGATCTTTGTGCATTTTTCAATTGCAAATTGCACTTTAAAAATGCAAACAATTATTAATATTGATTTGGACTAAAACAATATTGAATTTCAATAGATTTCCAGCTCTTTTATGAATTACCCTGTGGATACGTGGTGATTATGATAAAAGAGTATTTGCATGCTCAATTTCTTTTCAGGGAGGAACCTTGAAGAGGGCTGACATGATCCATGGATAATGAACTTCACAGGGACAAGACTGGCTCCGGAGTCCCCAACCAGGATCTCAGATGAAGCAGCAGCACAGACTTTCAGGGCCACTTTGCTCGCTGAGATTGTCCCAAAGTGACATTACAGGGCCCAGGTTATGAACAAGCCTGGAACAGGATTTTGAGTCACAGTTTTTAGGGCAGAGAAAAAGAAAAAGAACACATATTTATCTTGCTTTGTTACTGTTCCAGGCACTACACTGGATACTACATGAATTAGCTTTCACACAACAACCTCTTGAAGTGAAAATCATTCTCCTTTGTCATGGATATATTGATAATTCTCTGTAAGGAGATGCTGAGATGGAGTTTGGGATCCAAGATGTTTATGAATGATCAATACGGGGCCAGCAAGTGGTGTAGTAGTTAAGGCACTGACTTCCACGTGGTTGACTGTGGTTGGAGTC